ATAAGGCTCCAGACAAGATCACACGCACGGTCTACCGCCTCATCTGCAGCCCAAGTAGGGTCGACGGACGTCGGAAATATTTGACCTACCAACAGCGTTTCAATATCGCTGTCCTCAGCTATATTGTGTTCACCCACCTAATTCTGTCGCGGCATAATTCGGTCGAGACACGTTATTGAACTGAATTTGAAGCAGGGGCAAAAGGAGTGGCCCTCCTAAGGAAGCGTTGAAGAACAGAAAGTTTGGAAACGATGCGTATATTTTGTCTACAGGATTGACACCCCTGCATTTATGAATGTCAGTGTATAGGATCAGATTATAGGTGGGTAGAGCTGAACCATACCCATCGAATCCCATGTTTTTCATGAAAATCATTACATCCGAGATACTCCAGTCACTTCCAATGGAATTAGAGTCAATGGTCATAGACAAAGAGCCGAACGCCTGCCGAGTTGCAATTGACAGCATAGTATAATATCCTGGGTCAGTTGTCACTTGCGAGGCCGCCTGTTGGACCCGATTGTCCAGAGCTACAGCTCTCGATTGAGCATCTGAAAAGTCAGAAAGAAAGTCCACAATCTAGAGTTGGTATTAGATCTGTGAGGAGGATGGACGACATGGACCTGACCGCATCGGCGACAGTTGGATAGGTTGCCATGAAAAGTGGACTGCGTAGCTGATATTCGCCATTTGAAACAGTGTATTGGATGACCGGATTGTGGTTGTACCCTACGGCCCACACAACGGGAGATGACTGGGTAGAAACAATGTCTCCGAGGTCGATAGACATGGCAAAAACAGGCATATCGCTAGTGAACGCTGTAGTCCTGTAGAGATAATGGTTCAAGCAAAGGACTCACTCTCCAATTGCGCGAAAGGTAACATTGTTTTCTACGAACGCAAGGGTACCAAATCGCGTAAAATTGCTTTGGCAAACAGTATCAGTGCATGTCTTGTAGGTCACATTTTCGCCCTGTGCGAATTCATATGAATAAATGCCCTGCGGCGCTGCTGTGTGGTGGACGTACACGAGACATGGCATAATAATAGCTACCAGGATCTCTGAAAGATATGTTGGTTGCGACAGTTGGAACTGATGGTACACAATATCGCTGGGCGTCATCGTGGTCCAATTCACCTGCTGACTGGCATCTGAAGATGCCCATTCTGTCGCACAGGATATCGTGACCAACCCACATAGAATCAACAGTCGGTTACGCACGGGCAGTGATTTCAGAGTAAACTTGTACGCTGTGCGCCTTGCCATCTGTCGATTCTGCTCCAACAGCCAAATATGAAAATGATAAGGATTGCTTGACCCAGTCAGAGGGCTAGAGAATGGATCAATGAACACACTCGCGCAGACAGTCTGACAAGTCAAGACATACTTCCACTGGCGAGAGGAATGTGACGGTCATATTCATGGGGCCTGCCTCGATGATTTGGATGGTTTGCGTAGGTGTTATTGTAGTGCTAACCAGACGAGCAATGGTGACATTTTGGTTGGTTTTGCTGTCACCTAACCACTGATAGGTTGTTCCATCGACCCTGATACGACCCAGCCAGTCCGTGAACTGCAAGTTGGAGAACGCATGAGCACGAGTACCTGCTTTTTGAAGCAAATGTCTACGCAACGACTCACGTCAACATTGTACCAGAAAAAAGCGGTGTTATTTGTGGAAGGGAGGTTCGCTCCGGCCGTGCTCGCCCAGCAGTTCAGGTAGGGCGACCGGACAGCAAGAGGAATAGCAGGGGGGATGAAAGCCTGAGCTCGAACGAGGGTACTGAATGACAAGAGCACAAGGGTACAAGGGAGGAGCCAATGAGACATGGTTCATAGGCTCAGGGTTAACCTGGAAAGAGCGTCATACGAGGTTGCGCCCTCATCTCCTGCATTCATTGCCTAGCCAAACACAGACTTGGGGCCGAGGCATAGCCTACGTATCATTAGCTGGGCGTTCTCTCGGGTATTGGTACTGATGGCACATTCGCCTTGGCCTCATCGTACCCAAGGAACACGTACCGACAGTTGCTCCTGATCATAGCGCGCAGTACAGAGTCTGCCCAACAGCCATAGTCCAATCTTTCCCAGATACAAAGAGCCAGTGCACGAATGCAGCCAGCCCTGCAAGACACAGCTGATGGCGCGAGTGATGCGCATGCACCCGTTGTCAATGCTGTTGATCTGTCGCATCGCTCCGGACACCCGTTTACTTAAGCCTTGTTTTCTACGTATCGAAACTCTGTTTCCCACACGTGCACGTCTCATTATATACTGCGTAGCGATACCCCCGTCCCCCCTCAGTCGCTGTATTCCCCCCACGACTGGGGTATGCCGCCGTTCTCATTATTACTTATGTATTGTTATACTAACCTGGACTATTAGCATGCGCTGACATAGCACAGGTAATTTTAGTCGCTGTATTCCCCCCCACGACTGAGCGTGCGCTGACATAGTACAGCTTCAACAAATGCTACACTGATCTGCATGCGGTGGAGCGCATGATGTAAAATGGCACCTACCCAGGTCACGGCGCCAGTCGTGCTAGAAACAAATATGTCACAAGTCCCACACGAGCAAAATTTTACACTAACTTGCAACATACGCTTCCCCACTACTCGAAAAAAGAGCCGAACATCTCAACCACTGCATCCTTATTGATCTCATCACAATTCGTCGAATGGGCCAAGTCCTCATGCTGTTCGCTGTCGCGAAGCGTCCTCTGTGCCTGGTACCGCACGATCATCAAGCTCTCCGTGCCCAGCTGCACACGCAGCGGCGGATTTGGCATGTCTGCTATCTGCACCATCGCCTTTGCTGCCTTTGTCGGATCCCCAATGTAAGGCTGGGACGCCACCTGTCGGTGCACTACCGAGGGCGACGTCGGCGTGTCGTACTTTGGGTGTACCGGGATTGTCACCATTGAACTCGCATTCCACTCAGTACGGAATCCTCCAGGCTCGATGATGACTCCCTTGATATTCCACTCAGGAAGCATCTCCTTCGTGAACGCCTCTGTAAATGCCTCGAGGGCTATGTACGCCAGAAATGAGAGGTGCTCTCGAGAAATAACGAAATCTCTCACCGAATTTGCCCGCGCTGTAATATGACAACGTAGGGTTGGCAGCATATCCTCCACACGAGCTGACGTTCAACACTCGGCCACCATGGCCAGGTGGGTTTACGTCCCTGAAGAAGGGAATAGCCTGTACATGTATGTCATCTCAGTAACTACGCATATAGGCAAGACCATGCAGCGACGAACCTGCTTCATGACGTGCACTGGGCCCCAAAACAGAACCTCAATCTGCTTGCGCGCCTCATCCTCCGGCGCCGCTTCTATCTCTGCTGTGAGTCCATAACCCGCGTTGTTCACGACAACATCTAGACGTCCGAAGTGCTTCTTCGTCTCCGCGAATGCGTGGGCAATTTGCGCTTCGTCCGTAACATCCAGCGGTACCACAAGCAACTGCGACGCGTTATATTTCTGTGCCAGGGAAGCAAGAACGGCAGGCTTCCGGAGTGTCGCAACGGCGCGCTCCCCACGCGCGAGTACCTCCTCTAATAACGCCTTTCCGAGCCCCTGCGAGCTCCCGGTGACTGACAAAAGTTCCGTCAGCGACTTGTGACGACAACAGCGAAATACTCACTGAACCAGACTCGGGTGTCAGTGTTGCTCGAGGCCATGTGTGCGATGTGAATGCAAGTTATTTCACAACAGCGGGCGCATACGCGCTTTTATACGGTGGGTATCGCCTTACATGCTCTCGATGACGCCGTTAGAGGTTGCATTCCAGATGTGCCGCAGAGGTTGCGTATGCCACGACCGATGATGGTCGGCATTTGCAATCCCACATCGGCTCCGAGTGACTGTACTCATTACTTGTCAGCGTCACACGCTGAACTTCTGAATTGAGTTGCCTACCGACTCAAGAGACCTTGTCCGATAATAGTATGCATAGGAGGCAGGACCATTTGAATCTTCTAAAAAGGCCTATCAGGCAGCTTTTTTGTGAAGGCAGATATTGCCCAACATGGGATCGAACTTTCATGGGAGGAGAAAGCGAGCGAAAGCGGTGATGATGATATTGACCGACTCAAGCCCGACTCAAGCCCGACTCATTAGTGGCGGCCGATGTATGTCTGACCTTGAACTGGCTACAGGTCTAGCCAAACGCTGGATAAGAGTCAACGGTCGAGGAATCCGGTCATGCAGCAATTCGGGTCCTAAGTATGCCTATGGACCATTCGTGATCATAACACTGCATTGGCCATTGACGGACACAGGGCCAACCACTAGTACTGACCGCAAATGCCACTGTGTCGCATTATCATATAAGCAGCTCGGGAACGCCAACAATTGACAATCTTGTTCGGACTGGAGTTGCGCGAGTCAGCTACTATTGTGGTCTTTATATCAAAGCATACTCCAAGAAGTAGAGTACAGAATACAGAGAAAAACTAATGATACATCTAGCGAAGGCGGTAACTAGGTCATATCAACGAGCAGGTAACGCGGCTGTGCCCGAAATACCCTATTAAAATCTGTCCGGTGGCCTCGCGTGTCCGGCAGGTCAAGGCGACGGCGTACATAGGGTACGCATGACATCAAAGGCAACGACAACATGGTACATGCGAGAATTGGCAATGCGACGAGGGTGAGCATCTAGCGAAGGGAGGGCCGCAAATAAATGATGGTGATGATACAGTATCGAAGCGAAACATGGTATCATCGAGGCTGGGAGGTGGGGTATGAGGCGTTCACTCGTTCCGGACCTGCATCACCGAGGTAAATTTTAGCATCAATTTCATTCACGTAGGGACGACCAAAGTACTCACAGTGAGCCGCCGCAATGCCGCCTTCTCGTCGCCAGAGACCGCAGCTACCGAGCCAAACTCGTCCGGAAGTTGCGCTGGGGTCGACCCCAGCTGTCTGGTGTGCGAAAGCGGCCGCTCCCGCTCTGCGGGTTCGTTTATGGTGTACGCGAGCTGCGCAGGCGAGTCGAGCAAAGACGAGTGCTTCGACCGCGAGCCAGGTACAATCAGCATTTGGTCCGTGGGGCTCTCTCGTGGGTTCGCAGGATTCACCGTGCCCGCAGGCTGAACGGGGCCGGCGGTGAGGGACACGGCCGAAATTGGACTGGGGACTGCACCGCTTCCACCAGGGTAGGCGGGGGGACTTGCGTCGACGCTGCGAGAGGCGCCAATGTTGAGCGGGAGCAGAGCTTGCTGCTGCTTGCGCTGGGATTGCCTGGACGCATAGCTGCGGGAATATCGACTATCAACGTTGTTAGCGGGAAGGAGCAATGGCGCTTTAGGGTTGTATGCGCTCGGGCCAGCACGCGGGTCGAAAGAGGGGTAGGGTCCGAGATCAGCGACGTTTTGAACTGGATTGGAATATGGCTGGTTCGCATACGTCGCTTGGGGAGTAGTCGGCGCAGGGACGAATACGGGAAGAGCGGGGTATCCTGTCCGCTCATACATATCCGGGCCTTGTGCATGTGCATTCTTCTGTGCGCTGGACGACTCCGCCGGGGCTATCGTCTGCGAGCCTGAAGTGAGCCCGCTTCCACGAGAGCCTCTGCGGCCCTCCCCGGGAAGGCCAGTTCCATCGTTACCCCCCTGCTCTACATCGGCCCTGCCGGGCAGCTCATCCGATGAGGGAAATGGGGTCCAGTCAACGGCCTCGTCGTGCAGCTTGTTGCGACTTCGCCTCCGAATTGCCCACGTTGCGAGGACAACAATTAAGATCAGTGCGACAAGAGAGGACGCCGTAATAACGCCGACACTGAGAGCTTTGTTCTGAAGAAATCCCTGAGGTGAAGATGCTGGCAACGTGGCGGATGAGGTAGACGGGGAAGGAGACGAGGAAGAGGAGGAATGGGTTGTAGAGGATGAATGAGCAGAAAGTGTAGGGGAAAGTGTGTTCGTCAATGTAGGAGCACTCGTAGAACTGTTCGAGTTTGTCGATGTCGAGCGAGCAGCCGAAGACGACGCGGAAGACGATGTCGATGTCGAGGACGTCGTCGCAGATGTCGTTGAGACTGTCGATCTGCCCAAATAGAATGTCATCGATAAATACAAGCCAGGACTTATTTAAACGCATGAACTGACTGCAATGTTGTGGAAGAACTCGTGGAAGACGAGGACGCCGAAGTGGGGGTCGCACTGCTACTTGACGAGTCCGTTAAAAGGATAGTTGAGCTGGTAGAGGTTGACTGTGCTCCCGTTGGGAAGAGCGGAGACAAAGCGCTGGTCAACCCTCCGAGGCCCAACGGGTCACTAGTGGAAGATGTAGATGCACCGTTGTTGCCTCCCCTGATCACAAGTCAGAACATCTATGCACGTAGCGTGGCACGAAAGCGCACTTACAGAATACCATCGACACCGCTTACAACTAGGAACGATCGAGCGATCGAGGTTGAGACACATGCTTTAACATGACATTGCAACGTACTCACCACCACCAATAAGACCTCGATGCTGCAAGGCGAAAGCACGATTGTACGCCATTGAGTTTGGAGAACGATAACTTCAAGGACAGGTTGAGAATACAGGAGAGGGAAAGAGCGTGTGGCAGGGAGAGCGTGGCTGGTCAAAATCTGACTTCTGGGTCATCCAGCGACCAAGGAAGAAATGCGGAATCAAGGACAAGTGTCTGCGACGTTTGACAGCAGGCACTGTATAATGCCGGAGGAGAGGGAGGGGGGGCGGAGGAACAAAAGGAAGGAGGGATAATAAGGCGCTACGGCATCCCCGCCAGAGCATAACGCGGCCACAATGTGGATAACCATTGGCCCCGCGACGTTAGCTAATGATAGAGCTCAAGCGTCCACGAGTTTGTGGTGCTTTGATTTCCGCCGTGGCGTTGGCATCGAAACAAACGCATCGCCAAACTCAAGACATATCGCCATGACAGTTTCCATATTTGGCAATTCTCATTCACAATAGCGGGCACGTGACTACAATAGCTACCCTCCAAGAAACACTCACACGGCACTCTCCAAGAACTCATCTCGACATCCGCGGTCCTGGTCCGTAGCTCTGCCCCGCATTGCGTTCCATTATCTCCCGCAAGGGACCCAGCAGTCGTGTAAACGCATGCGCATCGAGGGCGGCAACTTTGAGCTTCGGCTTCCCTGGGTCGGTGCGGATAATCGCACTCACCGTCGCGGCACGGGGCTCCAGCCGTAGCAGCGACAATTCTATGACCCAGCCGCTTTTCATTAGCGTGAACTGAGAACCCGAAGACTGTCACACATACCTCCGAAGTAATCGCCCTTTGTTAGATGCCCAACTTGAGCTTCAATAGTATCACCGTCCGGCGTTCCCTGCGCCTTGGTAACAAGAGCTTCTCCTTCCTCGACAAAGAAGAATGTTTCACCCATATCACCCTGCCTTACCACCGCCTCGCCGTCCATGTAAACCTTGCTCACGAGTGCATCTGCGACCTTGCTGCGCTCCTCCGGCTCCAGCGATGTCAACAGAGGCACTGATGACAAAAACTGCTCATACATTGTGCGCCGTCGGTGTGCCGCTTTGAGAATGATAGTACGGAAAGTGATTCGGTCGAGTGACCACAGCGTGCATGGCTCCATTGCCACTACGGTCGCGGCGCGAGGATGGCCATACATCAAGGCCAGTTCGCCGAACGAACTCCCCTCCCGGCACTCTGCCACCTTCTTCCCAAAGTCAGGATGATGCCCTGCCTTCAATATCTTCTCCTGAGACGCGATATTGCCTGTCGAAAAGGTGGGAGGAAGAGGTTCGGGACGGATGTAGCAGTTGAGCCAGCCGCTTTCGACTACGTAAAAGTACTCTCCGACGTCGCCTTGACGGACAACTACTTCGTCTGCTACAGCCCGCGTCTCCTGCATCGCGTTGAGCACTCCCGTTTCCTGCTCCTCATCTAAGTCGCGGAAGATGAAATTGTCGGCAATCGAAGCACGAATGCGTTGTAGTTGGTCCTCCGTTTTGGGAAACACAGGCAGAGGCTCGTCAGATTCACTGTCCACGGGAATTGATTCGGCACAGACAGAGGGTCGGCGAGCGAGTATTGTGGGATTGGGCGAGTGCAAGTAATCGTTCGGACTAGGGGAGATGGATCCATGTGCGAACGACGCAAAAGGATTTGGCGCACTGAAGGGCGAGGTCGGGGAGAGCTCTTGTGACTCAAGCCTGAATGTTGGCGGAGTCATTTCTCTACTTCCCGAATCTGCAAGAAGAGCGTTGCCTGGCACATTGAGCGTACCGAAGGGACTCGAATTCGACATCGGGTTGTGCAGAGAAGAGCGATGATTAGGAAATGGCTGAGCGAGAGGCGAGATGCTGGAGAAGTGGGATGCCCCGGCAGTTGGACTTAAGGGCCTATCCAGATAATGATCAGTTGGCAGGTCGCGCGCCGAAGAAGGGCGTTGGGAGAGGACGTCGCGCATACGAACGCGCTGTTCTTCAAGACGGGACTGGAACCAATTAGCACAAAATTGCAGGGCGTCTTTAGGCTGAACGCGATTAACGTCGCGAGTGAGGTCGGCGACGAGTGAATCGAAGGTGGACATGCCCGATGCGTAAGAGGCTCGTATGAGCCGCTGTCTTTAAGGAGGCGCGACCTTGGTCGACGATGTCCGAGTTGAAAGCTCGTTGTAATGCGGTGTCTTTGTACTGGAAGGCGTCAGATTGTGGCAAGCACAGACACGGCCACTCACTGTAATACAAGGTTGAGAACAAATGGCGGATCGCGAGCACGTGGCTACCTAAAGCAGCATTGACAGTCGGCTTGCTGCATTTTCGGGCGAAATTCTGTGCGAGACATCGCCGAGCGAACAATTCAACAGGCTTTGGCGAGCCGAGTGCAGGCTTGATGCTGCGCGAGGTGTCTGCACCGCGCGAGAAGGGGTGCCCGAGCTAGTGGCGGCGTATGCGGGCGACCGTCACAGGCGAATAAGGACAAGGCTGGCACGCCGTGTCAGTAATGTCACAAGTGACAACGTGTGACACCGCCGGCACACGCACAGGTGCCTCCACGTGTGTGCATGATCCCACACCACTCGGCAGACGACGGCTATACAACGGCTGATATTGCAAGCTCTCATATACTAATCCCCTTTCCCATCCTTTTCACCTCAACTCTCCAGACGTCCAGTCCTGGTCATGACTTCTCTTGATATACGCATTGAACTCCCAGCTTACTCACATTCCTTCGCCATACAAGTCGAACAATGGGCAAACATCGCAAATGTCAAGCACGAGATCGCCAAATCTTGTCCCGGTAATCCTCGCCCCGATGGACAACGTCTCATATACAAGGGCCACTTCCTAGCTGATGAGGAGAGGATACTGGATATCTGGAAGGTGAGTCTGCGACGACCCATCTCCTAGGCAGTGGCTCTGATCCCATATGTAGTCGCCTGATGATGCGCGTATTCTCCATCTGGCGGTGCACCCTTCGGCTTGGACCTCAAATCCCCCAAGTCTTTCTTCCTCATCCCCGATGTTTCCTGCTAGCAGTGCCCAGATTCCGACTTCCGTGCGTCCTGCTTCAGAACAGGCCTTTTCGCAGTATCTTCGCGCGCATACGCCACTATTGGCCTCTTCATCCAATATGTCTTTGAATTATGTCAATTGGAAACACCATGTCGCTCTCCAGACACTCCTGAACGGGGTGTCAACTTTGGATACTGCCCGGATGACTGATCCAGATTGGTGGCGGTCGGTTGCCGTACAGCATCTCCATCTTTGTGGCTGGTCATGGCCTAGTGTCCTTGATGAAGAGTATCCTTCTGCTGAAAACTCTGGAGAAGGATTGAAATACGAGCAAGTAATGTTGGAGTAAGTACTGAATCAGAGATCTCTGATAATTCGGCCTCACTGATATCGCCTTACAGTGGGCTTCCCTATCTGTCGCTCGCGACCCCGGATGCGGCTCCAACGCCTATTCAAACGCATGCTCTCAAAGTATTGTCGGTGACATTCACAATTCTCACCGCGCCTTCTCCGGAGCTTCCTCCCCTTCCTATCGCTACGTCGTACAGCACACCGTATCCTATCAATGCACAAACCGACCTCAACGAACACCTGCAGCAGCTGGGCCTTCCGCCCATCCGCTTGGCTGCCGGCCAAAATTTCAATCCTAACCTTCACGTAAACGACCCGAACCATTTGCCTGGTGCAGTTGCGGCGCCTGCAGTGGAGATTCGAGCCATACCCCTACGTGCGCTAATGGTGCCATTAATTATGCTGGTCTTCCGCACACTGCTTCTTCTCTATTTCTTCTCACCCATGAAGCGCCCGTTTTTCGCCCTGCTTCTGAGTGCGTGGATTTTGTACGAAGCATGGGGCACATTACGCGTAGTAATCGGCGACGGGCGCGTACGGAACCCGCGAGCTGTCGATCTCAACGGCCGGGTGGACAACAATGGGCGGCAGGGACCGGCTGACCGCCGCGATGCAGGAGCATCGTATGTCGCGAACCGTGGTCAGATGCAGGCACTGTTGAATGGTTTATCCAACCTCAATCTCCATGTGGAGGATGCAGTGCTGGACGGGGGCCTACCTGTGCGCCCGCCAAGTCTTGGGCACAAAGTGAAGACCTTTGTGAGCCTCATGCTCCTGACCCTCCATCCGGCCGTGTGGGATTATCGTCGTGCTGCACTGCGAAGAAGGGAGGGTCGCCTTCGCACGGAGGCGAATATAAGGGAGGCTGCGATGCAGAACACGGATGGCCAGAATGCAGCCGGGAGCCCAGGTGAGCGAACGGAAGACGAGACGAGGGTGAAGGCATTAATCGAGGCGCATGAGAGGCGACCTACGTGGGTTAAAGAGTACGTGCACAGGGTGCAAACGACGGACTGGGCTGACGATGTATGACGACCTGCTTGCTTGTATCTGGATTGTTGTATGAGGGATGACTTGTAAAATAGGACGGTCGTGGTGGAGTATAGAAGGAGCTCGCGACCCGGAGTAGCGTTGCACTGGACAACATCGCATAAACCGGTGTCTCTGTACCTCCATTCCTCGACGAGTGAAATAAATTATTAGCACTGGGTGCTGACCCGGAGTAGTGTTGGCACTGGACATCGCATAGACCGGTCTCTCTGTACTTTCATTCCTAGATGAATGAAACAAATTATTCGCGCTTTGGATGCTCATCTGCCGGCGGCGAAGTGGCGAAAGAGCCGCACTCATCACTACCTCAGGACCCGCGCTTGATCTAAATCGGGACAGACGTAAGAACACGAGCGACCAACGAGCGACTGCCTCGGCGCAGCATAGCCTGTGTGGCTCCCACTCACTCTGCGAACTGTGCAACAGGAATCTCAAGGAATACAATCATGTCCGATAAAGTACACGTCCTCCACCATCCGGTTATCAAGGCCCGCCTCTCCAAGCTCAGACAGACCTCCACCTCGCCAAAGGAGTTCCGCGAGGTAAGCTTTACCTCATTCGCCGACCTGCTGTATTTCTCACAAACATCGCACAGGGCATACATGACATCAGTCTGATGCTAGGAATAGAGGCAAGTCGGGACTTAGAGGAGGAAGAGTTTACCGGAGTGCGTCCGCCTGTGTCCTGCTGCCATATCCGCCAACTCTGCGCTGATGTCACGTATACCTGGCTCCATTTTCCGGTTTGTAGCAAACACCAATTGGCACGTTTACCGGCACTGTAATCAAGCCTAAGATCGGCCTCGCTCCAATCCTGCGAGCGGGGATGGGTATGACTGACGCTTTGCTCAATCTATTCCCGTACGTGCTTCGTATTGTCTAACTTGCGCCCCTCATTTCATTTGCGTCGCACGCTGACCTTTCTTCTCGTCCTTTTTTGGTATGCAGATCAGCGCAGGTGTACCATCTGGGGATATATAGGGAGAAGGTCACTCTTCAGCCTGTGGAATGTCAGTCCCCAGACGTTCGGGGCATTCGCGACTACTCATGACGACAATTGGACGTAGACTATTCTAAACTCCCGTCTGCCATGCCAGTAGAGACTGTCTTCCTTCTGGATCCGCTGATTGCGACGGGAGGAACTGCCGTGGCTGCACTGAATATGCTACTTGACTGGGGCTTGCCTAGTGCGTCTGAGGCTCGGATTCTGAGACTCGGTCCGTCGCTGACTTGTGCTAGTTACTCGAATTAAGCTGTTGTGTGTTCTCGCGTCCAAGACCGGTTTGGATCGCGTTAAGGCGGACTTTCCTGATCTCGAGGTATGTGCTCCGGTTTGGGCGGAGGTCATGCTGAACGACCGTGCCTAGGTCTGGGTCTCTGCAGTTGATCCAGAGTTAACGAGCAGCGGCCTTATCTCCCCTGGATTGGGTGATACTGTGGGTAGCAACTTCCTTCTCGCATTGATTATTTCTGATACGTTATTTCGCAGGGAGATCGTTTGTACAATACGCTGAGGAGCTAGAATGGCTCTATTTAGAATCAAGTGCGTGTGCCTGACCTGTCTGTAACAATATCTGTACGTCGCAATGTATAGCATCGTGGTTTGCTAATGGGGAACACTGGCGATGTGTTCGGTGTAAACTGTCTCCGGGCATAAGGTCGGACCTGGCCGGAACTACGATGCCTCGCAGCGGCGATATTTCCCGAAAAGGAAAGCCTCAAAATTCGGAATATGCGGACACGTGATAAGTAAGTCATGGCATAACGCCATCGGGTGCCACGCATCGCACAATCTTCTCCGGAGACCCGCTTGCGCGGCGGATTATAAGTTCGCTCGCTTTTGCGAGGGATCTCCACCTATCATCCTCGCAAAATGGCGGCGGACGAGAGATCTGGAACATCAACTCCTCTGTCTTCGACCGCAACTCTCTCTGTCCCCCCTTCTCCCCGGCTGAAAGCCGAGACCCTCTTGAAGGACGCGGTAGCGAAAAGTTCTCTTATCTCCGCATCCACTGCGATCGAGTTCGTCGCATCCCGGGATTCTTCCAGCTCGTCTGTCTTCGTCTACGATGTCGCCGAACAGGTCGGGTTTGGCAGCTTTACGAAGTCTTGGGCTGCCTCGACGCGCGGGGTCGCCTCGGTAGTTGGTTTGGAGACGCGCGCTGGTGCTGGCCTGAGCCTGGTCGGTAGGTTATCGCAGGGGACAAGCAAGGATGCCGCCCGGGGTTCCATACTGACCGCATACACCACCCCATCCGGGCTCGCGGCGATGGTGCAGTCATTCTCGTATCTCCCTCCTCCGAGCCCGACTAGTCGGCTCATCGTGCAAGTGCCTAACGTAACTGCGGTGGGCGAGAGCTTTGCGCTATCACCGACACTCGCGCCGTTCACTCCGGCTCTGGCGATTTTGCCCGACAACTTTGCGGTGCTGTTGTCCGCGGCGCCACGAGAGGCCGTGGATCTGGCGGTATTGTCGTACAAGGTGACCACGGCGCATGTGATCCACATATTTGACCACCATGGTGCGGTGCGCGAGTCTGGCCATGGGATCATTCCGTCGCTTCCGGAGAAAGAGCTGGGCCTGACAGTGCAGGAGGGTCTCAGCAAGGCCGGGTATGACGCATTCGATTACGCGGGAGACCAGAATGCTAGCACGGCAATAGTCTTGCTCAACGGACCGCTTGCTCTGGCTGTGAAGGCTCTCGTCTCTCGGGAGTCCGGGCTGGGAGTTGTGGTTGTGAGGATGTTGAGGCCATGGGATGAGGATGCGTTGTGCCAGGTTCTCCCTTCCTCGGTGAAGTACATCCACGTTATCGATGACGTACCTACGGAAACGACACAAGGCGCGCTGTACATGGACGTGTTCGCGTCTGTGCTGGATCCGATGAGCTCTAGCCCAGTTGTCAAATCGCACCGAGTCGTCCCTGCGCGAACACAAGAGTTACTCAGTTCTCCGTCGTCACTAGCGTCGTTCATGAACGAGATCTCGCCTGAATCCGTACCATCATCGGCGGTGGATCTGTCTGCTGGGAAGAAGGTCGTCTTCTTCAGCACGCCCGGGTCTCCGCTGGCCACTGTTGCGCGCAGAGTGGAGGAGACGTTCGTGTCTCTGCCTTCGATATCTGCGCGCCTCCTCACCGATCACGATGTCTTCTCGAAGCCTGGTGGTATTTCTGCCGACCGACTTGTTCTCGCTCCTAAGACTGACGTCGCGTCTGTGCCTCTTTCCGTCCTCATTCCCCTTACACCTAGCGGCCAAGGAGAGGTCGACTTTGTGGCCGTCCTCGACCAGGCCCTACTGAAATCCCACTCCCTCCTCACTTATGCTCTCCCCGGCTCTTCGGTGCTCGTGTCAACTACTTGGCCTGCTGCTGAACTCATTTCAAATTTGCCTCCTCCCGTGCTTGCGATCATTCGCGATAGGAGTTTGCGCATATATGTTGTTAATCCGCCAGCAGTCGTCGCCGCAGCTGGCGAGGTAAATCCACAGGCTTCAGAACTTTTGGAGGTTGCGGCTGTGCAGGCCAGTTTCCTCCGGCTCTACCTTGGCAAAGCGGCCAATGAAGAGCTTATACTTAAGCTAGTGCGGGGAACAGTCGGTGATTTCGTGCAGAGCGTGTCTCTTGAAAAGATCGGTGGCGACATTTGGGATGGGCTGATTGAGGTTGAAATTCCTCCGCCAGATGCCGAGGCAGAGATACCCAAGCCCGTTGTCCTCAAACACTTCACTTTTAATGCCATCGCTGTCGAGACTGACGACGGGAACACCGTGGTCAATGGTGCACGTCTCGGCTCATGGCACGATGCCGCCAAACACATTATCTTCCCCTCGGCTTTCACGCCTCCTGACATCCAGTCTTCTGACTGCACTCAGAATCCTGCGCTCCGCCCCGAGGTCCCCGAGCATACGTATCTTGTCACCTGCACAGTCAACCGTCGCCTCACTCCGCTCGAGTACGACCGCAACGTCTTCCACCTCGAGTTTGACACGCGCGGCACCGGGCTCAAGTATGAGATCGGCGAGGCTCTTGGCGTGCATGGTTGGAATGACGCCAGCGAAGTCCTTGATTTCTGCACCTGGTATGGTGTCGACCCCAACCGCCTCATCACTCTTCCCGTCCTCGGTACGGATGGTACTCGAATGCATACCCGCACCGTCTTCCAGGCGCTGCAGCAACAAATCGATCTCTTCGGGAAGCCAGGAAAGACGTTTTATACCGAGCTTGCGGAGTACGCTGCAGCGAAGACCGATCGGTACGCACTGCGCTTCATCGGTTCGCCCGAAGGCGTTGCGACGTTCAAGAAGCTGTCCGAAAAGGATACTGTATCATTCGCTGACGTGCTGAGGCGTTATGAGAGCGCCAGGCCTGGGGTGGAGGTCCTGTGCGAGCTGATCGGGGATATCAAACCGAGGCATTACAGTATCGCGAGCGCGCAGGCCGTCGTGGGTGATCAGGTCGATCTCCTGGTCGTCAGTGTCGACTGGGTGACACCAAGCGGTAAGCCGCGCTTTGCGCATGTTCTTTGACGGCAATCCAAACGTTGATGCTCTCCAGGCACTCCTCGCTATGGTCAGTGCACGAGATACCTTGCGGGGCTGAAGGTTGGCCAGCAGGTCACCGTCTCCGTCCGGCCCAGTGTGATGAAGGTGAGCGCACCCGCCTGCCTGCACAGGGCAATAGACACTGACAACGTTCCCAGCTTCCTCCAGACCACATGCAGCCCCTTATCATGGCCGGCCTCGGCACCGGCGCTGCGCCTTTCCGAGCATTCTTACAATACCGTGCTCTCCTCGCCTCCCAAAACATCCCCACTGGGCCCGTATACTATTACTTTGGCTCGCGGCATCGCTCGCAGGAGTATCTGTACGGCGAGGAGCTCGAGGCGTTCATGGCGGACGGGATCATCACTAAGGCGGGGCTTGCGTTCTCGCGTGACGGCGCGCGGAAGGTGTACATCCAGCACAAGATGCTCGAGGATGCGGACGACCTCGCGAGGATGCTGTGGCAGGAGCAGGGCGCGTTTTACCTGTGCGGCCCGACGTGGCCCGTGCCGGATGTGTACGAGGCATTGGTGGGTGCGCTTGTAAAACGTACGGGCATGGAGGCAGCGAAGGCGGGTGCGTTTTTGGAGGGGCTGAAGGAGGAGGAGCGGTATGTGCTCGAAGTATACTGATCTATGGGTAGGCGAGCTCCGAAACATTCTACTTATGGGTTTGATTACACTGCACAAGGGTCTCTTAGACGCATCTATGACAGTAGAGTCTCAGATGGTATGGGTATTGGGTATTATACATACCTGTCGACATCGCTATTTCATGCGAAATGCTTCATTTCAGTTGCGCACCAGTATGGTACAAAGTCCTGACTGTATGCGGTGCTAGCTACACACACTATTCTACTACCACGCTCACAACTTCGTCTGGCGCAACCTCTCCGCCATCTCGTACCCGGACGCGTAATGCGAGAGCCTCGCGTCGACGACAAAGCCCTGTTATGCAAAGTTGCGTGAGCACCATGGAAATCGAGCACGCAGGGCAGACAATCTACGGGACCTTCTTCTCGTACTCTGCGATTGTACGGTCAGCGCTGGGCATGGACAGCGGGGGCGAGACTAGCTACCTCTCAGCTCTGCGGCGAGCTTGGGCAGCTCGACGATGCGTGCGGTGATGTACTCGCCTGGCTCGAGCTTCTGTGCGGACATCTCGAGTTTGTCGGGAAAGGGCACGTCGACGGCCACGAGCTTCATGTTCGCCGTCGTCATACCTGGCGAGAGAGCGCGAGAGTCAGACGCATCTGGGCCGGGATGCGGGGCGCGGCGTGCGCACGCACCGGGGTCGCAGACGAGCAGGGGCGAGGACTCGAGGATCTTGGTGCCCTTGAAGCCCGTCTCTTCTTCGAGCTCGCGGATCGCGGTCGTCTCCGGCGACTCGCCCCCGTCGATGAGGCCTGGCCGCCTCGTGAGGATGTGTGCGTTCGGGGCAGCGCCGAGTGAAACATACCTGCGGGGAGCTCTGACAGTGGACCGAATTCAGCTGCCTGCGCCGGGCGGGGGAGAGGAGAGGAACACACCGACGACAAACTTGCCAACGGGAGGCCGGAACTGCTCGATGATGACAGTCGAGGGCGGGAAGGCATTTGTCTCTGAGCGAAGGACGGCAAGGATGGCGACGGCTGTTCCGGTTCAGATGTCTCAGCTCGGGCAGACTGAGTAGGTCGCTGGTGTGCTTACCGTCAATGCCGGAAGAGCCTCTCGTTGTTCTTTCTGCGCACTCCCAAGTCCTCTGCACGCGATGCGAGATGGTGAGCTGGGCTGGGTGTGCCCGGGATGCAACGGCCGCGCACCTGCTTCCCGTCCGGGTCGCTCCAGTGTATCTTCTTCAAAGTGATCCATCTGGAGAATGGAGGAGAGGTGCGTGCCGGCGGAGGTCAGTGCGGACAAGACGCAGGCTTACTTGGCATCGGAGGTGGGTAGCTCCTCCACAGACAGGATCTTGGGTGATTGGGACATGGTGCGAAATGCGGGAGACGAGAGAAATAAAGTTGAAGAAAGTCTTGGTGTGCGTCGAGAGGGGGAGGAATGGCGCAAGGTGGCTTGGAGGAGTGACCGCATGACGATGTCCGTTTACAGAAGACAGTTTGTCCCGTGCGGCCAACACGGGCACCACTCAGCATCATGCAAGCGAGCCGGAGGGAATCCAGAGGGATCATCACAGTAAAAGCTAGACATACAAGCATATTTTGTGCATTACAGCGTACATACTGACTTTCCGTAAAGGGCATCGCGGCGGGATTCGGTCGATCTGCGCTCTCAGCGTCGGCCGCTGTTCGCCCTCATTGAGGCAGCCGACGACGCCCGGACACTCGTCGGGATCATCGACGGCGTTCCGCTCGGCGACCAGCAGCATCACGAGAGTCGTCGGAGCCACTGCCCTCGTCGATATCGCCCGCCCACGGCCCGGCCCTCCGTGCGCCGGATACATATCATCGACAATGGCCGCCATGTCTCCTCAACGCTCCCTCCCGCAGAGCTCCCCCCACTTTGAAACACGTCCATGGCATTTCAGCCCATCAAGTCCGCCGTCCTCGGCGTCGGCCTCGGAGGCCTCACCTTCCACATCCCCTTCGTCCTCGCGCTTCCCCAATACTTCTCCCTCCATGCCGTCCTCGAGCGCAATCCCACCACACCAGGGGGCAAGCTCGCTGCGCGATTTGGCGCGGAAGCCGCAAAGGGCGTGACAATATACAAGACTTACGATGAGGTCCTCGCCGATCCCGAGATCGAGCTCATCTTCATCAGCACACCGAGCGAGACGCATTATTCACTTGCAAAACAAGCACTAGAGGCTGGAAAACATGGTACGCACCTAGCCACCCCTCGTCTCCGACACAGCTCACCACCGTCGGATGTACAGTCCTTGTCGACAAGCCCGTGACAGCCACTGCCGCCGAGGCCTACGAGCTCGGAGCGCTCGCAAAGTCGAAACAGCGCGTCCTCTATCCCTTCCAAAACCGCCGCTGGGACTCGGACTTCCTCACCCTCCGCAAACTCCTCGACCTCCCGCCCAGCGACTCCAAGTCCCTCGGCACCCTTGTTGAGTTCGAGTCGCGGTACGTCCAGTTGGTGCATCCCACTGTGTCGTCCGAAGCTAATCCTACGGCGTAGATTCGATCGGTACCGCTCCACGCTCAAGAACACCTGGAAGGACCTGCCCATCCCCGCAAACGGGCTCGTATACGACCTGGGCGCGCATCTGATCGACCAGGCGCTGGTGCTCTTCGGGCGGCCCGCCAAGCTGACGGCACAAGTCGAGAACATCAGAGGCCTCGGCCACAAAGACGTGGATGACTGTGTGAGCCTCAGTTTCTCAGCGTCCTACCCCCTCCCCCCGCTGATCATGTATGCAGTTCACGATCCACCTGCACTATCCCCCGCGCCCCGCCGCCTCTGGGCTGCAGCCAACGTCTTTCACCTGTATCCTGCGTGGACACATCCTCTCCGTACGCTCGCCGCAGGTGCGCTACGTCGTGCGCGGCCTGAACGGGACCTACCTCAAGTTTGGCGTCGACGTGCAGGAGGACCAGCTCAAGGTCATCCCGGATGTTGCTGAGATTAAGACGTCTGCGTCGTATGGCCTGGAACCGGAAGAGCTGTGGGGGACCGTCGAGAACCTGACGGAGGGCGACAAGGTCGTGAAGGCCACGTGCGTGCCGTCTCTGCTTGCAGTGTCCGTGGTGAGAGGCAGCTGACGGATATGTGTGGCAGGTGGCCGTCCACGGAGAAGGGCAACTACGCAGGGCTGTTCGAGGACCTGGCAAAGACGATCCGGGAGGGCAAGGAGCAGGCGGTGAAGTGGGACGAGTCGGCAGAGGTGATCGAGCTGATCGAACTTGCGTACAAGAGCGCGAAGGAGGAGCGCACGCTTGTCGTTCCGCCAAAGCCGTGAGGGTAGGGTTGCTCGCTGAACTGGACGGTCCAGCGGGGTGTTGGCCGTCAAACGCAAGAAGTCGCCACCGTTGTATTATTTACTAACATCTGGCCGTTCTCATGGTAGCACTTGTAAATGAGCGCAATAGACCTGGCTGATGAGTCCGGGCTTCTTTCGTGTGTTGCTCTCCCGTGAGCACACTTGATACACACTTCGGGGCCGAGTGCAGGGCGCATCATTCTCACGACCGCATCGATAAGCACAGAGCAAAGTGCTCCCTGCGCGCGCCATCCACCGCACCGCGCCATGGCGTCGCCAATCAAGACAGCCGTCCTCGGGGTCGGCCTTGGAGGCCTCACATTTCACATCCCTTTCATCTTGGCCCTGCCACAGCACTTTGTCCTCCACGCCGTCCTCGAGCGCAGCCCCGCCAGTCCCGGAGGTAAGCTCGCCGCGCGCTTCGGCGACAACATCGCAAAGGGGGTGAAGATATGCAGAACATACGAGGAGATCCTGCACGACGCGCAGGTCGAGCTGGTCGTGATCAGCACTCCGAGCGCAACGCACTACGAGCTCGCAAAGAGGGCGCTGGAAGCGGGGAAGCACGGTGCGTCGGCCCCACGCAGGTCTGCGCAGCGCACAGTACTCAGTGCTCACGATGCTGCGTCCGCCAGTGTTGGTGGACAAGCCCGTCACCGCAACAGCGGAGGAGGCGCGCGAGCTCGGTGCCCTCGCAAAGGCGAAGCAGCGCGTGCTGTACCCCTACCAGAACTGCCGCTTCAACGCCGACTTCCTGACCCTGCGCAAGCTCCTCGACCTCCCTGCGTCAGACCCGCGATCGCTAGGCGCACTCGTCGAATTTGAGTCGCGGTGAGTCTGGGTCCACGCAGCCGGGTAGCTTAGTCGCTGATGCAGGAGGCGCAGATACGACCGCTTCCGGACTACGATTAGGGGCTCGTGGAAGGACAAGCCTGCGCCCGCGAACGGCGTCACGTACGACCTCGGGTCGCATCTCGTCGACCAGGCTCTCGTTCTGTTCGGACGCCCAGTGAAGGTCACCGCAATGATTGAAAACGTGCGGGGTCTCGGCAGCAGGGATGTGGACGACTGCGTGAGTGTCTGTTGGAAGATCGACGAGAGACGTTGCTGACGGACGACGCGTGCAGTTCACGATCATCCTGCACTACCCGCCCCAGCCGGCAGCCGCAGATCTCCAGCCGACCTCCTTCACGGTCATCCTCCGCTCGCATTTTCTCTCGGTGCGGTCACCGCAAATTCGCTACGTTGTCCGCGGTCTCAAGGGCACTTTCACAAAATTCGGCGTTGACGGACAGGAAGGACAGCTGAAGACCATGGCAAGCCCTGTAGAGATTGTGCAATCACCCACATACGGACGAGATCCAGAGGAGCTATGGGGTACGGTCGAGAATCTCGACGCCAGTGGAGAGGTCGTCAAATCATCGTAAGTTGCAGCATTGCTTCAAGCGCGTCGACAGCGTCTCTGATGGACCGTTCGCTCACGGCAGATGGCCGACAACAGAGAGAGGAACCTACGCCGATTTGTTTGTCAACCTTGCAAAAGTCATTCGAGAGGGCGAGGAGCAAGCAATCAAATGGGATGAGGCAGCAGATGTGATCGAAATGATTGAATTGGCGTATGCAAGCGCAAGAGAGGAGCGTACATTACCCGTCCCTCCAAGATCCTGATAGCAATTATGATGTAGACAATGCACCGCTGAATATACGAGATGCACACTGTACTGCGAGGACAAGTTTGTCTTGCTACCCACGTAACCAGGACACAGATTATCGACGTTTGTACTCGCACGGCTTGAGTATGCTACCACGCGACAGCATCTTTTTCCATTCCTTCTGGGTTTTGGCCGTTCGTGCTACCTTTTTGAAGTCGAACAGCGTGAAATGCGTGTTGTCATCGTTCTAGCATCAAATCAGCAACGCTAGATATTTCTACCACAATAGACGCACCTTTGACGTTAGTTGGAAGCCAAACGAACACACCAGCGACACGAAGGCATCCACATCCGTAAATCGGCTCGCTACTTCCGCTATCTTGAGCTCACCACTAGAAGCAGCACATGCTGATCAATCCACCGTCCACTGCGGTCAGAAGCCGACGTACTGTGGTCTGAGAACCCGCCACGCTTCGCGCATGCAATTCGGCCAGTTTGTGCCCATGAGGCTCAGCGCACACACCACGACGTCGACCACTGCCCCCTCGCCGTGTCCGCGAACACCAGCATCAGGTTCCGTGCCACCCTCTTCAGAGCCCGGCAATGGAAGGTGAACGCATGTATCAGCTTCGACGACGAAGACTCCGTCAGCCACGAGATCGAATGAAAAGACGGCGAATCCCCGCGGGACGAGGGCGCGGGCGAGCGCGGCGTCTCCACACCCCAGGTCGGCGATGACTGTCTTCGGGGGATACTCTGCCAGAAGGGAGACAAAGTGGGAGACGGGATTCGTCGGCCACGAGTGCACTTGGTGCCGGAAGCCTGTGTGGTACTGGGGCGCGGTGCAGTCAGCGCGAGGCCCAACTGAGCGGGGGGTGGGGGCCGCTGCGGCACGGCGGACGAACCTCCTCGTACACCTTGGGATCCTCGCGCATCAGCTCGTGCGCGTGCGCGCTGTCAGACTTGTAAAGCAGTTCGTTTATCCATCTGTGTGCATTGGAAAATGGGGGTCTGGATATCGGCAGGGACGACCCACCTGAAACGGGCCCCGTCGAGGCTGCTTTTCATCCCTGCCTGAAGCGCAGTCAGACCCTCCGGTTTTTGGGAAACCTTGTCTGCCTGCCGTGCAGGGACAGCCGCCTGCGGCGGCTCGCTCGAATGTTTCTCTTTTTCCCCCTTCTTCCCCTTCCGTGCAGGCGTAGCGAGGGACTCGGTGGCACCTGGTGCCTGCGGTGCATTCCTTCTCTTCTCCCTGCGCTTTCCACCTTCCCGCGGCCGCTCTGCGCGGTCCGGTGCAGCTGCGCCCTTGCTACCTTGTGGGGTCGTCCCCTTTTTGTCCTGTTTCTTCTGCTTCTTGCGCAGACTTCCCTGCCCGTCTGTCTGACTCGCCTCGAGTTTCTCCATGAGTGTTTCAAAGTTGATTGTTGCCGACTGCACTTTCTCGTCCTGTGGCTCGGCCTTTCGTTTTCGCTTCCTTGACGTGTCTCCAGCGACGGGTGCCGTGGGCACAGTCCAGCCTGGGACGTCGAAGAGGGCCATGGTTGAATAGTCGGCCAGTGGAGGACAAGGGAGAGACGCAATACTTTAAGGTCGCGGCGCGTGCACGAGGCCCGCTTTCGGCGGTTCGCGCATCCGTGAAATAATCCATCCACACCCAAGACGTAACAACCCACAAGGCGCCAGACTCACCACGCCCCTTTGCAGAAACGCGCATATATGCATGCATTTCGGACCCACAATGCCTCGCGACCAGCTTCGCGCCGACATCATCTCTATCTCGAACTACCATGCATGCATAGATGCTGCTGCACGAGGCCCGAGCCCGAGGATCCATGCAGGAATGGAGAGCGCAAAACGCGACAGGCATGAACAGGGTTGTTCTTGCCCTGGCGCAGCGCATCAGCTGTACACAGCATAAGAGGCCGGCCAGCGGGGGCTTGGGCAGCCCAAGGAGTAATTCTCCAGAGACTGCCCACACTCTGAAGGTTTACTCTGCGTACGACATCTGTCCCTATGAATTCATTTTCCGTAATGCGACCTTCCACTGCTGTCCCGACCGTGCCGCTGATGCCTTTTGATTCAAAGTCAGGATGGCGCATGTCGTCCATCCCATCCCCCGTGTCGCGGAGTGGGACGGTATGGGCAGCTTTTTAGTCCATGATGTATCGTTGACCTCCCAGTCGCTAGCCCGCAGATGCTGAAACCCCTCTCAGCTCCGCGACTCATGCTCTAGTGAGCTAGTCCTTTCTCGTATCCACAGCAAGGTTATTCAACCTGTCTGTTCTGCAGGAAGAGCGACAGCTGCTAAGTTTCTCCGATGACGACCAAGCAATTGACCATGAAAATCGTACCGCGCCACTGATAACTTGCGAGGCGTACTTGCGAGCGGACTCAGGCAGCAGGCCATCTCAGTATGGCCTTCTGGGCGTAATCCGCACCATACAGTGCGTATTCCTTTTGTTCCTTCATGATGTCGCGCTTGACATTGTCTCCCTAGTGATCGCAAAGAGCAGGAAACGCCCCACGAGAACCGATTGTACATAAACGTCGTAAGTACTTCAACTCGTGGTCGTTTATGATATGCCCATTGCGACAGAATGCGCCCCTGTCAGCAATTGTTTGTGGAGTGCAAGGCTCCGGCAAATCCCATACGGTGTCTGTGATTCTAGAAAACATGCTAATCCCCCACTATCGGCCCATTGGCCGTTCTGAAACGGCGCTCGCAGGACTTGTCCTTCACGTCGGTGAGGGCGGACCGTCTTCCCTCCCCAACGAAACGGCCTGGCTGGGCCGCACAAGTCACCCAGGAGTCCAGTTGCCGCGCATTTGCGTGTTTGTATCGCCATCGTCATTGGGTACAATGAAGAAAATATATGCTCCGCTCGGCAGCAAGATAGAGGTCAAGCCGCTGTTATTTTCAGAGAAAGAACTAGATGCCGAAGCGATTCTGTCTATGATGGCCGTTGGATCATCCGACTCGGCCCCGTTGTACATTCAAACCGTCTTGGTCAGTTACAATTTTCTGTCCAGAATTTAGCACTAACGCGGGATCCTCAGTCGATCCTACGTGAACTCGGCGAGAACTTCACGTACGCGCGATTCAAGACGAAGCTGGATGTCCACAAACAGGAGTTCAATCCCGCGCAGCGGGCGGGGCTGAAGCAACGCATGGATCTGCTGGAAGCTTTCGTCAACCGAGAGAAACAGCAACCCGCACGGTTTGCGGAAGGCCAGCTGACAATTATTGATCTATCCGATCCCATGGTCGATCCCGCTGCAGCATGCACATTGTTCGAAATCGTCACCCGCCAATTCGTCCGTGCGGACGTAGGTGTCAGCGGGAAAGTGCTGGTCGTCGACGAAGCGCACAAGGTCTGTTGACTGTTGACCGATCGGTGCGAATGAGCTGATACGTGGCCCAGTACCTGTCCGCGAACAAGGGCCAATCAGGCCTGACGAAAGCATTACTGTCTCTGATCCGACAGCAACGACATCTGGGTATGCGAGTCATCATCAGCACGCAAGGTCTGTCTGTCTGTCTCTCAGCTGCCGGCTGCGGCTGCGGCTGCGGCTGCTGCTGACTTGACAAATTGCAGAGCCCACGGTTGTCCCGCCTGTGCTCCTTGACCTGTGCGGCGTCGCGATTTTGCATAGATTCTCGTCGCCATCGTGGTGGGACCACCTCGTGAAGCACGTCTCTGCTGACTTGCCGGAGGATGCGTTCGACCAAATCGTCAAGTTGCGAGTGAGTGCATTCACCGGCGACGGGGCGAGGGCGCCATGCTCATCTGCCGATAGACAGGAGAGGCCATCGTCCTCGCCCCGGCCGGGCTGGGTTTGATGCGCACTCTGCTCGCAAAACAGGCCTCGTCGGCGAGTGGCAGCTCTCCACTTGAGACACAGGTGCTCCCATTTGGGAGGCGTTATCTCATCGTAAAGTCCCGCCAACGTGTCACGGCCGACGGGGGTGCATCCATCCTGACAGTTGCTGGGTGACATGGACGTGGACGTATCAGAGCTCAATCTTTAGATGTGTATGATGTTGCGTTACTAGCGTGCGTCCATGGGGTTTATTTTCGTATCGCGCCCGCATATCTTAGATCAAATTGTGATCTTGATTTCAAGCCATGGCTGACGCACCTGGGGAGTTTGTCGCGTGGCCTAGACAGAAGGATTTTTGCAAATGCGCATGTACATTCCTTGAGTGTTCGAGACTAATTGTTTGTCTTGATGCAATGACCGGAACAGGGCATGATTGAGATTGGTCCAAAGGATGCTCACGCTCAGCGGCGGGGCACGTGCGCGCCTGGGCATTTGGTCCCCGCGCGTTTGGGAGGAGATGTCTGTTCATCATCTCGTCATCAGCCGGAGGTCAGGGTGAAACCTAACGCGGGATTATCATTATCATTATCATTTCATTCAAAGCGCCCACCTGGCTAGGGCAAGTAAGCCGCCGCTTGTAAGACTACAGCCGCACTCTGGTGATGACATGATCATAGGACACACATCGAGCGCTGGCCTGCTGAGGATACAATTTGAATAACAACCGTTCTTGAGACCAAATGCAGATGAGAACCGCATCGCCAATGGTGCCGCGATTGGGGCGTGATGTATCGCACGCTGGCGCCCCGCAAGAAATCGGACGAGCGAGCTGAGCGTGTTGCTTAAAGTCGTTCGTCCTGTGTTGCTTTCCGCTTCGGCAGAGTATGTCGCAGACCTGCCGTGTATCTCCTCGGAGACGAACTCAACGGTGGGCAACTCACAGGCCACTGCTATTTACCTTTGCATTTCCGCGGGCACGGCCGTGGTCCCTCCGCCGGTGCCAGCACCACGGCAAGTAAGTGACTAGTCCAAAATCAGTCGCCGCATCGTCGCATTCGTATGCAACAGCTGGCGCCATTCACTCGCATTCACTTGGCTCGACTGCGCAGAACTTTGCATCGTCGCCCGGAACGACGTGCTCTGGTCCATCTATCAGCCAGCAAATCTATCTTTCCGGCTCACCTACCAGAAGCCAGAACCCGCTCCTACGCCGGCATCCCCCAGTCTTCGCTATCACACGTATGCAGACAGTGGGTCGACCGCGCTCGTCTGTGGCTCCTGCGATGCGCCAGACGTGCGGGCATCGACGGCCCCAGCGAGCGCGCACAGCCGCCTCGCACGACTGCCTGGGCGGAGTTGCCGCCTCGCAGCTCGAGGCTCGCCCCTGCGCCCGCGACCGCTCTACGCACACCTCTGCGCACCCAGGCCCGGTCCAATGGCCAAAATCCGAAGCGACGCACGCCGCGCCGAACGTGCTTGCCTGCCAGGAGAGTCGAGACAGACCAAACGGGGGCATTGGCATTTCCGTGCTGCCGTCGCGCTGGGCTGTCCGGTGCGGCGTGTTCTGCATGGACTCGCAACGGCATACTAGCGAGCGCTGGGGTACGGTCTAATAGCTGCAGCATCCCCGCTCTCCCCCCGCTCGGCGTGCGCCTCGCCACAGGTGCGCGCGGCAGAGACACCGAGGGGCTAGCGCGACCGAGAGCGACTCGGCCACTGCTTCGCGGGTCGCCTGCGCTCCGCACACACGTCCCTCGCGCCGCGCGCCCTCCCAGCACGCGCGCAGACCCGCCTCGACGCCGGACG